TGCGCTTATTTAGATTTCATTGCGAAAAATTCTTTCCGTGAATGAATTTTACTAAGTTGTAAACATGCATAGTCTACTGAATTGAAAAAATTGAAAAAATTAAAAAAAACTTAAAAATTCAAATTGTAAGCACCACGAGACAGATGCAAAAACTTCAGATATGTATATATGCGCGAAAGATCAAAAAGTGTGAAGGCGGCACAAACTGGAGGTAATAAGTTGGCGGAGTGCAAAAACTGTAATTGGCTAATGAAAAAGGTATGAAAATGTTAGAATTTCACACTGAAAAGTAAAAACCAAAAAAAAAAGAAAAAAAAATTATAAACAATCGAAATTTGGCAACAACTGGAAGTATAAAAAAAGAAGACAAAAGATAGTAGCCACAAACAAACGTTCTTCAATAAAGCCTTTGATACTTTGCACAAAGGGCAGGTGCAAAATGCTTCTGCATGGCCAAGTCAGTGTATGTATTTTGCTGAGGCATATGCTGCTGGGAAATTAAAAACAACCTGCCTGCTTATTTATGTACTATACATGTGTGTTCATTTTCAGCTATATTGAAACAAGCTCCTACTCCAACATGTAACATACAGCACAGATGTAACAAACACACGGAAAACGAGTAACACGCGAAAGTGAAGTTTTCATGTTAGAAGAGTTGCGAAACTAAACAGCCAACTGACAGCCAAAAGAGAAAATGTGAAAATAAAACTTGTGAAAAATTTTGAAAGTTTGTATAATTCGAGGTTTTATTGTAATAAAACTCTGCTCATGAGAGGATTGACCAGTGAAAGGCGGCAAATTATTGCATAAGTTTTCGATCTAATTAAATAGTTCCAGTCTTTTATATGAAAATGCTAACTTATGAGTTTTATGTGCAAATCATTGCTGATCAATGCCAACAATTTAAAAGTAAGGATTTTCTTTATTATTCTACTATCAGAATAAACAAAATTACATAGAATAGAGCTGCTTATGGACACATCGAAGAAATGGCCATCATGGCTTTCCGCACTCAAACGCACTCGCTTGTCGAAATTTTCCATGACTATTTTGTATAAATAGATTTTATGGGTGAAATGTTGAATCTTCTGCTTTAAACCACGCTTGGTTGTGAGCTGATTGCAATAGACCTGTGATTTGAAATTACCCCATAAAAAGAAATCACCCGATAAGAGGGCAAAGTCTTGTGGAAACCACATATTGGCTACATCAATATCATCCAATTTCAGCAAAGGATCTGAGATATCATGTCGCGATATCGAGCACTAGTATATTTACTATACTAACTTATTTTCAAAAAAGTATAATTTAATTATGCAAAACAGTCACACGCATTGGTTTTCGAAAATTCTATATGGGCCCTCAGAGCACCAAAAGTGACATTTGATGATGCTCAATAATCCATTCAACAAACACTTTTCGTCATATATGGTATAATTTTGCGACCATGGAAACACAGATCTTTAGTGAGTGTACGCTATAGAAAGCTTCTTAAGACTTGCACTTATTGTTCACGATGCCAAACTGGATTGTCAGCCACACTCTCACACACTGCTTTGATGTGGTCATTTGCCCGACCAGGGTGTTTGGGGTCTCCAACGAATTCTGTCTCCCGGAATTATTCAATTAAGCTCTTCAAGCTTGTGAGGCGAAAACACTATTCAGACCATACTTTGTAAGAAATTTTTGAAATGAGGCCGTTAAGCTTAATTATGTTTGAAATATTACGCAATAATGAAGACACATTGTTCTATCGTAGAACGCTCCATTTTCACTGCGCCTAAATTGTTAGCTTTAATCCCACATAAAAGATATTATGAACTGATTTACGCACTTCATTAGAAATATTCGATGGAGCAGCCGCTGGTGGAAGCAGAGAAAGAGAGAGACCTCCACTCCGTTGGAAGATTCAGTTGAAGAGTCACTTGGCTTCACTTGGTATTTTCATCTGGTGCCAAACAACAACAGACTAACCTTTTAGCGCATAAAGGACTTGCTATTCTAAGCATTGAAGATTTCGAATTTCTTAATTTCTGCTATTGAATAATAGTTTTTCTGTTACTGAACAGTTTTAAATCTCCACATTTAATAAACTCTTGCCATTCATGGCTTTCAGCAGATGTCACCCTTGGCTAAACAGACGTATTCCCTAAACCCAATATCGGAAAGGCTCCGCTGCAGCTTCCTTTTTTTTAGGCTTCACCTGGGTTGGTTACCTCCATTACATTAAATGGGTCAGGTAGAAAAGTACCTGTAATATTCTTATGAATTTTATATGTAATATTTAATTTTTTATTTATTTATATTTTCGGGAACAATAGCTTCTTAAAAGTACAACATATTTGCTTCTTCTTTCAGCTTATTCTAAAGCTCTAATTTTCTAATATTCTATACACAATCAAGTTGCACAAATATGTATATATGTTTAAAAATTTGAAGCAAAGCGAACATGGTGCACTTTCTATCGTTGACTTTGGTTGATGAACATGGCGTATGAGTGACATAATTTGTTCTCACACATGATTTTAGACCATGATTCAATAGTTAAAGGTTGGATAAGTAGTGACAGGGGAGTTTTGACACTTCCTCACAAATGGTTGCATTTTGGAAAGTAGTAGAAAAAACAGCGAACAAAAAAGGAGTTAAAAGGTAAGAGAAATAGTAAGTAATCTGAATGGTATTTATTTTATTTCATTAATTTTAAAAACGATTTAAATAGCTTCGATTTTAGAATATATCCATATCTGCTAAATCATGTGCATCTATGATATCAAAATTTATTGATGCATCGATGTGCAAAATAAAAAAATTATAGTAGTAAAATTACTTTTTATTGTTTAAATTAGAAAAATTTGCATATATTTATAACATAAATTTTTTTGCATGTACACATATATATTTAAAACAAGTTCGTTATAATTTGTATGTATGTACCAGTAAATTACAAGTGTTTCAAAACATGCGTTATGATTTTATATTATTTTTTTTATACATAATGTATTACAATATAATTTACAAGTCGATGAGATCGTTCATGCTTTTAACAAATTTTTAAACCTCTTTTGTTCTTAATATTTTTGTTCAAATGCTTAATGAGTTGATGCATGCGAGTCTTGAAAAAAAGTTTTTTTTTACATCCGTAGCTATTGTTACATGTTCAGAACGAGAAGGAATATATTTATTATTCTTTCCTAATTCTCAATCGCAAGGTTCGGGTACAAATCCCGGTGCCATCAATATCCAAAAGCTACGGAAATTTAATTTAAACAAAAAATTAACTTAAATTTCGTAATTGCGGTCGCCGCTCGCAGAAAAGTTCCACCCCTTCGAGTGTGTTTCGGACATGAAAAAAAGCTCATCGTAAAAAAGCATCACCCGTTCGGAGTAGGCCCCTTCATTTGCTGGAATTCATCAAATCGGAGGAGGAGCTCGGCGGAAAATCCCCTCAGCGGTAACAAAGCGTTTTGTATATAATTCTAAATTGCTATCGACCATCATTTCGACATTTGCATAATCACGCATTTCTAGTGTTGCTGAAATACAAGTTTACATACATAATTTAACAATTTTATGGTAAAAGAATCGCCAAATCTGTGGCTATGGTGGCGTTAATACGCAAGTACCATTATCACAATTGAAAACATCTTCCGGTATTTTTCAACCTACTCTGCTATTTTGGTAAACATAACCGGGCAAAATTGCCTGTGGAAAGTGTTCAAATAGCGAGTTCAATGATTGAACACAACAAAAGATCGATTTATCCGCAAAGTCTTCAAGAATCACAATTAATTCACAACTTCAACGCGTTTACGTTTCGCAGATTCCGCAATAAGAAAATATAATTATTAAATAATTGTGAAAATATTGAATCAACCAATCAGAAAAGAGAATGTGATGCCTACGAAACGTTTTCATAAAAAAACTAAGTATTTAGCTACTTTTAAAAAATTTGTTATGAAAAAAATGTTTTTTTTTTACAAAGAAGCATTAGGAATTTTCAGTAAGGGAGCTTTTGTGTCAAGAGGGAGCGAGAAAGCTGTTTACTTATCTAACCTTTAATTATTGAATCATGATTTTAGATGACAAAGTTATCGGCAGAAGAAAATTAAATTTAAATACGCTTAAAACATATTTTTAAAAAATTTATTTATCGTTTTACAGTAAATTTAAAAATATTATTTTTGCTCTTGAAATTAAATAGTTCAGAAACTTCACCCAAAGTATTATCTAATTGGCATATATAATGGCTTAAAAATTAAAGGTTAAAACTTTAAGCCATAAACAATTAATTAAAGTCTGCAATAAGCAGAAACAATGAAAAGCAATTAATTTTGAAATTTTAACGCTGAATTTTATGCTCCATTTTTGTGCACAATAAACAAGTGACTGTGGAGACAAATATTGAAATAGTAATAAAAAGTAATGAATTCAAACAAAAAGTTTTAAATTAACAACCAACCAATTTCACTTTACACTCTCTACAATTTGAAAGTCTTCATTCAGCACCCATTCAACTTTAAACAAAGTATGCGGCTCACGATTTTACTCATGGTGTTGAAAACCTAAGCGACAGTAATGCAAGAGAGAATGGTGATAGCGTACGCAAAGTTGAAGAGTGCTTTCAGGCGTATACTGAATTGAGTGTAAACACAAAAGTTCTACGCTTTTATATAAAACACATTTATACAGACATACTCATAAAAGTAATTCGTTTTATTTGCAGTATGGGTTTTTAGTAAAATTAATGTTTTCAACCGCTTGACAACGACAGTTAATGTTGAAACTTAAAGTGGAAGAGGGAATTATTTGGCAAATTGCTATTATTCGTCTCTGCAAATGACAATTAACGCTTTTGCCCGCAAGCGACAATGATAACTGACTTTACAACTGGCTTCTTTTGGTGTTTATAAAATTACGATTTATTTTATGGGCGTAAAATTGCATTTAAGTAAAGTTGAATTATATATGACCATTTCTTTCATCCACATCTCACTTACCTCCCCCCTCACAACCGTGATTTGATATACTTTAATGGCTGGTGTTTCTTTCGACGTGAAACTGTAGTATTCCCGTAGTCCTTTGTACCATTTCACTGAATAGAGACTGTCACCTTCCAAGTCATAGAGACACTTGAGTATCACTTTTTCACCGCGACGTGCGGCTGGTGTTATTTTGACGCTTACACCGCGCAGGGAGGTGACAAAATCTGTAATTAAGTAAAGGAAATGAATAATTATTAGCAGGTAGCTTATATTCTAGATTATGTGCAAATGTACATGACAGTAAAAAAATATTTAAAATTATTATAAACTCTAGAATATTAGAAAACTATTAGCGCCTCTGAAACATACTGCGGCTAAATATTCCATGTAGTCTACATTCTTCTACCAAATGATATTAGTATTCTATAGGTGCTGGCTTCGGTATTCGAATTCTTTATTCAATTTACGGAGATATTTCGTCTTGTCCATATCCTTCGCTTCTTTATCATGTCTGGAGAAAGCAGAACTAGCGGCGAGGTTGTTGAGGCCGATAATGCCAATATCATCGGCGTACGCCAGAAGTTTTACACTCTTATAGAATATTGTACATTCTCCATTCAGCTTTTTAATCTCTTTCTAGAAATTACTTATTTCTAAGGTATTAGGACTGCTGATATTTTGCAGAGTTTGCCCTCAAACATATACCAATTTAAATTGCAACCACTACTGGACTTTTTTTCATTGGTTTTATGAAGTTTTTTTTTATAGAATAAATTAAGTTGGTAGGTTTATAATTGTCTTATGAATTACATTGTGTAGAGCGATGCACTTATATGAAAACCCCAGATCACACACCACTTTGAGAACTTGTAATCGCTAGTTCTTCTATTTTTATGCATTACTTTTTTTGCCTTTCACTGACATTTCACAGACATTTCAATAATATTTGGTTTAATTCCAATGGTAGGTCAAGGTTAATATAAACTTTTTCCCTTTTATTTTTATTGCAAATCGTGTTCAAGTTTTAACGGGTGAGATTGCCACAAGCGCTTCTGTCCGCTTTAAGTGCGAAAGCTTGTCGACGGAATTCGGTTGAAGACACTCATTACGATTCAATACTCAATACACTCAGGTGAGTGTAGCGCAATACAATATTTATAGCCTAAATTTAGGCGTATGCTTTGCATTCCACGTTGTTGCCAAGCTGTAACGCTGCTGCTCATTGTATAAATAATATTTGTTTGTTGTTTATGACAGCGTATGTCTGTTTGGATTCTATTTTCGTTTGGCCTACACATTTCTTTCGAAGATCTTATTTTCAGTCATTACCTATTCCGAGCTTTTTCTTGTTTTTTCGGATTTAATTCTTTCACATTTTTTCCTTTTCATTGGCCAATTAATACGGCGAGACATGCAATGCTCTAATGTTTTCGATTCGCCTAATTGCATTACTTTAATGCTGATTGATTAGGCATATTGCCTTGTATGTATGCCTTGTCCACGAAATCATTCAATGAATGTGTATGTAAGTATACACAACAGTATTTTTAAATTTTATTCATATATTTTGTATATGATTCCGCTCCATTTTAACGGTTAATACAATTCATTTACAATTTACTACACTCACTTGTGGGTTCATTTCTTTTTTATATTATCAGGTGTACAACTTTGCTTCCGCCATTTTCCGGCTGAGGCTGGTTGAAATACATAGATAATAATGCCTTTAAAGTGAGTGTGGACAGTTTCAGTGACAGTTGTTCTTGTTTTCATATTATTCACGCTCGAAAATGTCCGTTTTTGTGCCTAATTCTCGCCATTTGCGGGAAGTTTTACTTTTCTGCTACAATTCGAAAAAAAAATGCAGCTGAAGCGCATCGAATGCTCTCAGAAACTTACGGTGATGCTGCTCTGAGTGAAAGAACGTGTCGGGGGTTAAGAGCAGTGGTTTTAGTAATTATGAAACCATAAAAACTTATTAGTAATTACTTCGCTATTATTTTTATATGTATGTTTGTAGAACAAACCAATAAATATGGCGGCAGGTTTTATGCCCAACAATATAACTTGTAAATTGTAGTGAACTTCATTAAGTTTGACATAAAAAAATGAGTGTTATTTGAGAATTTATGCTTGGAGAATTAAAGTCACTGAGTCTAATCTCTGTATATAATAATCAATATCACAGAAACTTTCTTGGGAGTTGCCTTAGATAATAGCTTTACCAGCAAAATCGCATAGATTGCTCAAACTAAATTGAATTATTTCGAATTTATATTGAATTATAGGTTTCGTGTCCAACTACCCTTAGAAAAGAAACTGTTATTATTTAATGTGCTTATAAAGCCATCTTGGATGAATGAACCCCAATTTTGGAGATCAGCATTTAAATCTAGTATAGGTAGTCTAAAATCTTAAAATCAAGCCTATGAAAAAACCAGACCTTATCATTCAATCTTTCTAGCTAAAAGCTTATTGCAGTCAAGAGAATAAAGGGAAAGGATTCATGCTTCAAATGTGATTAAGAGCTAAATGCCCGTTGCTATACCGCTATGGAGTACTTCTCACTTTCTCAGATATAAATAAATTCGTGGACATTATGAACGGTGCGATACAGCTTATGTCAGGCGTTGCTAGGTCAGCCAGGCAGTCAAAGATGCCCTAGGTATTTTGGTCGTCTGATGCTTACTCTTCTACGTCCCTGCTACGACAAAAACCAAAATCATGATCAAGAAGAGATGTTGCTGCCAGATAGCTGTCACAGGTGAATAACAATATTGTTGTTTCTACAATATTAAAAACAATTGTTTCGTCTAAAGCCGAAAGCTAAAATGGGTCATTTTAACACCAAAAAGGACGAAGTTCCTGTGATACATCAACATGCAATTCATTATCCAACAGGGGTCTTGAAGTGATCATCTCGATGTTTTGGCGTAATTTACAGTCAACAAAAATATTCAGTGAATACCCAAATGCGTATGACACGATGGCTCTATCTTTAACGACTATTTCTAAGTGGCTATGATTCCAGGCGGCACATTTTTCCACAAGGATGATCTTCGATAATGTCGACCGAAATCTTTCACTGATGACATCGCTTTAGCTCTGATGAAGTCAAAAACTGACGAAGACACACGATTGACGCAAGAAATGTTTGCCATATCAAATCGTAGCACCGAATAGTGCTTACCATAAGTTTTTAAAAAATTTTTGGAAAATAGAAAAAAAAAGAATTTGCGGCGATGCTTTTTACATCATAACAACGCGCCATTCTAATGTGCTGATATAACGAGTAAATTTATTGCGATATCTGGGATCGAAGAAATACGTTCAGCACCATATCCCCCAAATGTGGCGCCTTGTAATTTCTGGTTATTTCTAAAAATAAGAAAAAAAAGAATTAAAAGGAAAGGAGATAATTAACGCGGTTAATGCTGAACTTGATAAGCTAAAAAGTTAGATTTTGAAGACTGTTTTCAGAAGCAGATCAATGGCGACAATGATTGAAATGAAATGATAGAAACGGGCAAAGAAAAAATACAAAAACAAATTTTTGGTTTTTTTTTTTTGTTCAACTTACCAAATTTCTGCTAATCCCTTCGCATATCAGAATATATTTTATTTTATTTATTTATTGAATCTGCTTCAGTATCAGAAGCCTCACAATAATAATCTATAAAATTAAATTAAAATGTAATAGCAAATTGGCTAGGAATGAACTGCTGGCTCAGTCTTACTCCTTACAAAGATAGTAAGTCCCTTCACTTCAGACGTGTTTGACTTGTTGCGTAAGCCATTACGCATGTACCATAATGCGCCTGTTATTATTCTCAATGTTTTTCACTAGAATCTTTTTATTACATCTAGATTTGCTGCGCAAGTTGTCAAATTTAAAATCGCAAAAAAAACCATATGTTATACTATTGAGAACTTTTTTAATGGAATAATGGATAAATTAAATATGTTCATAGTTTAGAGAAAGCACCATTTATTTTTTCGGTTCGCTAAGGAACCCAATGTTATAAAATATTTGTTAATGCCATAATTGACAATATTCTCTGGTAAAAATCTTGAACTCTCCTTAACGTCACAACGAATTTTCAGATTTCACCTGAGCATCCGGGGTTTTTGATAAATTTATGAATTTTTCACGCTTACACTCCCACGACTTGTCACTCAATGCTACTTTGCTCATTCGCTCACACTTTCGGCGTATTTCTCATTCACTGACTGTCAGCTAACTTTGTCATATGTATGTATATATATACCGGTGTCGTTAGGGACTTTTTTAACGCTTAACATACTTATACCTACGAGTATATCTCAAGCTGAATTCCATTGAGCGTCAAGTGTATCCTCTTCATTTGACTTTGTGTCAACAAAAGTTGAAAGCTGAAAACTTCGATGAAAGTTAGTGGAGAAATACCATTCCATGTCCTAGATAGTTGCAGTTTGCTGTCGTTGTTATCGTTGTTGCCGTTGTCACTGCGGCTTTTTAGTTTGTTACGAAAAGGGTGTGAAGAAAAAATACGGCCAACCTACATGTATATTCACATACTTTTGATATACTCCTACACATATATATACATGTTGTTATTATAAGGGCACTTGTATGAAACTTTTATACGCGACAAATGATGTGTATGCGCTGAAAACATTTCGTCAATTACTTGCACTTTGTATAGTAGAACTCAAATTATATTATATACTGACTAAAGCTGAATTGGGTTAATAGTGCTAACTTATGTAACACAGTTTAGAGACACATAAGTACATAGAAATGAAATTGGAGTCAAAAACGCATATACATATTTCAATCAATTCGAGGAAATCTTTAAAGTATGGTTTTAGGATTTGTACATTTTCTTCTTTACAACAGCGGATATACAGTTTTTTGGCTTTAATAACGAGTATATCATAACTCTGATCGCTGAATAAAGAGAATGCCAATTTTACTGCTTACGTCGACGTCATAACACAGAAATCACTAATAACGAGCTTAAGTGTTAGACGAGTCGATGTCATTTTAACATTTTTTCAAGTTTCAAGTTTACTAGACTGAAATCGGCTCAATTGCATAGTTTTTACAACCATGAAATGTTGAAGGACGCCTTTGGATTAAAGTGGTCTTTTCTTCAGAAACTCATTTTACACAATTGAAACAAGATATATTTTTCAGGGAAGTCTAAATAAAATTAGTTACTAGTCAAGCTTTAAAACTTAGATATTCATTTATAACTTTTAGATACAAGTATTTTTAAGAGCATCTCGTTTCATTTGATTCCCTTCTTAGTTAAAGAGTGTTTCTTAAAAACTAATACTTATAGTATGACACCTGCTACCTACGTATCAATGACTTAAAAATTCTGTAAGTTGGTGAAAGTACCACTCAGCAAGCTTAAACAATGAAATTTACCTTAGATAAAGTTAGACTGTAGTGGCTACCTATCCATCGTATCAATTACACTTAGGTCTGACTAAGGACCATTGTGCCACAAAAACTTAATCATCAGCTCTCATAATTTACCCATTTTTATATTTAAAAGATTGTCATTACATTCAATATTTTGACGTCCGCTTTTTTCGATAGACCATCCAACATTAAGGTTCCATAAATCCGAAACCTATCCCTGATCAAACCAGGACAGTCGGATAAGAGATAGGTAATCGTTTAAGAATAAGAATATAAGAATTTTCTCTCCGCCTATCGTCAATGGCCTGTCAGAGCTCCCTGCCTCCTCATTTTAAGCAGTACATGCCTGGTGATTTTTTCTTATCCTATTTTTGTCAGGTATGCCTGGAATTTCGGCAGGTTGGGTTGCAGTTGCATTCCGTCTTGACGTAGCTTGTTTATATGCAAATTCGTACATTGCCTAGCAAGTTCGTCCGTCTTGTGATCCACGTTTGTGAGAAAGTCAGTTATGTTTGGTCATCTTTTGTAGAGATCTATTTTGGAATTTAGTGTAAGCAAGCCCAGTGCGCTTATTGTCGCCTAACTGTTGCTGAAATTGTAGACATTTTATCTTTAAAACTACTTTCTTGAGAAGACACCTCCGACACCGACGACTCTTTTATTTATTTAATTATTCTACGACTCAGAGCATCAAGGTTGGTAGGGAAATATTACCTGCACTTATATATATTCTATAAGCGACAAATAGAGCACTCTAAAATTAAATTTGCTGAAACTTCTGTGTATCAACAAAGTTTACCAATAAAACGAAACTGACTTAATTTCATTTATGTATATAATTTGTATTTAAAACATATTGCAATCGTAAAACATGATAAAAGGCAGTACCGCAATAAGCTGCTACAGACACATGAGTTGATGCAAAAGAATGGTAATAGAAATATATAAGCAAACGTTCTTTAAAGCAAAATATATGGACAATATTATATTTTAGTAAAAAGTAAAAGCGCTTGAGGACCTGCGCCAACACAAAATCAGCAGGCATGGAAATATTTGCAAAACATTCAAGAAAAACTAAGTCACACACAACTGAAGTGGTTACGAACACATACTCGTATAGTCGCATATATGAAGAAACCAACAGATTTCCCTTAGTCCATCTATGAAAAAAAAAAATTGTTAGTATGTTTACAGTAATCAGATGGTATATATGGGTGTTAGTCGTTTGTCGATTGATAGTGAAGAGTTGATATGTTGAAAAATCCGATGAGCTAACCGATGTGGCTATTAAATTTCAATTGAAAAAAGTCATTTGTTGCATATAACACATCATTTATTCTTTCGTCTAGATACATATCTGCATACATATTGAAAACTTCTACAAATAATGGTATAAAATAAGTAAATAAAATTTTTTATGCGAACAAAGCAATGAACTTGAGAAATTGAGTTTCTGTACTTATATGCACATACAAACACATTTAAGGTTTATTGTTCATACATACCTTTCTGTACAAAAGAATTTGAGCTAAACTAAAGCAGCTTGTGGAGGGTTCCAAAGTGAAACAGGATACCCAAATTGATTCATATCCATTAAAAGGTGTTGTCTGACTTTAAAATGAGTCTCTGGATTTAATGAACATTCATCGTGTATTTAATCATTGTGAAAACGGTTCAAGAAATCCACCATCGATGTTACTTCTGGTAAGACCGTGTATAACTGAGGTAAAATGTAGTGACGACCTTGTTTTCCAGTGATGTGGTCGAATATTATCAGTATATCTAAGGAATTTAATTTGTTAAACCCTTGCATATATTCTTCAAGCTCAACCAGTTTTTTAATGGACTCATCATCAAATTTCATAATTTATGTGTAGGAAGTACGAGCCACCAACATCCAAAAGTTATTGAAAATTAATTTAAATAAAAAATTAAGTTAAATTTTCTAATTGCGGTCGCTCTTCGCAAGGGAATGTCCACCTTTAGACATGAAATAAAGGTTCCTCGTAAAAAAATCCATCAGCGGTTCAGAGGTGGCTTGGTATAAACTGTAGGTCCCTCGATTTGTTGGAAAAACATCAAGACACAAAACCACAAATTGTAGTAGGAGCTCCGCCGAAAATCACTTCAGCGGTTATAAAGTGTTATATTTTTAGGACGTTAAATTATTTTCTGAATTGGCTTAGGAACCGCCTACACCATATCGCCATATACACACTAGCATGCCAGTCGTTTCTTCTCTTCGCAGTTCGCCGCCTAATCGAAACAACAAATGAAGTCAGACCTTTTTCCACTTGACCTCTCTTCTCATACCACATTTTATTTAATCCAAGTCATGTAACATAGCCAGCAATGCAACTGTCCCTTCATTTGCAGATCTAGAGAGTGTACATACTATTATATAGGATTATGCATTTCGTAGTTTCAAAAGTGGGAAGCTGTATATTAACATCCGTCAAACTAAACTGTTAAGCCAAAAATGTTTTATTTTAGTTAAAGGTCAGACAATTTTAAAAATGGATCGTTCATCAACCGCTCAGCGCGTTAACATTGTTAAAACCTACTATAAAATGATTCAAATGTGTCTATTTATCGACGCTGCCAAAAGCTGGGACTTTCAGCTTTGTTAACAACTGAAGCCAGTTGACCATTCACAACGCCGAACATAAGTCGATTGGTTGAATGAACAACAAGCAATGGACCTGATTTTTTTGAACAAAATTTTCTTTTCAATTGGGTAATACGCAAATAAATAAATTTGTCGCTTTTGGGGCTCCGATAATACTAAAATAATTGAAGAGAGGCTTTTTGGTTCTACACATATGTACCTATGGGCCTTGTTTCTCTGAAAACGACAACAACGAGATTGTCACCGTCAATTTGGAGACTAAGGTCATATGATAACCAGTTTTGGCTTGTTATTGAAGAACATGATGTGGTTTCAATAGGCTGGTGCCACATGCCACACAACACGAGATCGTGCGATTTGACACCTCTGGTCTTTTATGTGGGGCTACCACCTTTATGCGGATAAGCTCTTTACTCTTGAGCACATTAAAACCATCTTTCGTCAAGTTATAGCTGAGATACTGACTACTATATGTATGCTAAAGAGTGGTCGAAAATTACCACCAATGGATCGAGATTTGGAAAAATTTGTGAGGCGATCATTTGAGTGATATAGGGCTTCACACATAATGCAAAAGTGCGCCCTACAATAAAAAAAATCATGAAAAAATTTAATTTAAATGCATTTTGTTTTGGAAACCCCTAAATGGATAACCCAATATAAACACCATTTATTTCAGTCCTCTTCATGTGCGTTATAAAAACATTTTGAAATTCCAAATGATACGTGTTGTCTTTATTTATTTTTTGATAGCAAATTAACTTTTGGATTGATAAACGATACAAATCAATGAATATCAAATAAACTTAAAATATTCATCTATTTTAAAACGTTTAGGGTACTCGACATAACAAGTTACGAACTGATGCAAGTTGAAAATGCCCATATGACGGGTTTCTGAATACATTGTAAGTGTTTTTTTTTAGGTTATTTGTATTTGAATATTTTTCGAACAAGTGAGCGTATGAAAAATCCGATAGGCGTACAAAAACAAGCACCTCTCTTACACGTCAAACATTGAAAAGTAAAATCTTCGTAAAATCTACACGTGCATACTAGAGATTGTAAGACATGAACAACGCTAAAAGAGCATCATCAACATACCAATGATGGCCATTCATTTCAATGACACCCAACTGACTTGACCATGAAAGAGAATGAGCGTTAAACAATTGGAAAAACTAAGATGTGAACAAAGCAAGTGTAGAAAAAAAAATAAATATAAAATGGAATTTTCTCATATCTGTATATTTATCATGTATTGCTGTATTACATGCTGAAAATTCTATTGGGAAAGAATAAAAAGAAATATCAAAACCACTAATAGCCGTTCAATATTTGAAAAAAGAAAAAATGGTTTCATAGAGATGTCAGCAAAGTACAATATGTATGTATATGTTAGTGAATTCCTTCAACAACAAAAAAAGGTGCATTTATGGGACATATTTTTGGCCGATCTTCTTCATGAGCTGTTCTAGCATTTGAAATTTTTTTCTATCTATTTTTTCAAGGACATTTTTTATCAATAATTCACAAATACACGTATGTAGCTACTCACACTGCTACATGGACCAAAAAAGAAATAAACATGCAGCCAGGCAAATAAACAAAGAAAATGCAAAAAGAAATTCGACTAAAGGTAAGAATATGCTAAAAGAAAGGGTACAATCAAAATCATAATGAAAAATTAAAAAAAATCCAATGGAAAAAATAAAAAGTTGGTTTTGCAAAGCAAAGCAATATACTAGGCAAAAATAACAAAATGTCGGAAAATTGAGTAAGTCCGGTTATGCCGGAGAGTGTTGGTCGGAAGGAAGAAAACAACGAACAAAGTGTTCAAGAAGACAAATGAATGTTGAGCATGCAATGAAAAAGCGAATCACTTGGACAAGTCGTTTTGTAAATGGCTCAACCGGCAATAAGGTTACATACAGATAACAAAAGAAAACTAAAGAGACGGATTTGACTTCTCCCATAAAGAAGTTGTAAAAGTGCCGTTAGAACATACAAATACAATAAATTAAAAAAAACTATGCACTAGAGACATATAGAAATTCGTTGTAATTAATTTTTTTTATTTATTTCTTGATTCTGCACTCTTTTTTGAACTAATTTACATGTAAATTTTGTATTGAGAGTTTTAAGGCCTCTAAGAGAAAAATTAAAAAATAAATTGTATATATGGGATTTGATAATTCAGAAGAGTTTCACTTAGAATCCAAAAAATTCAATTCTGTGGTTCATTTTTCAACTAAGATCATTATGAGGGGAGTATTCTCTTTAACGCTCGAAGCGTCTTGCGGAAGGAAGCTGTTGACCAACTTAGAATTAACATTACTTTTTCGAAGTGCTCAAATGTACTCAGGTCGACTTATTATCTATTTGATAAGATGCTATTTGGTGATGGATTGTTAGTTCTTGGCGTGTTGTTTGATGTGCAATTTTCCTTCATTAATCGCTTTAACTGCTTTATTTCTAAAACTTATTAT